GGTTATGTTAATAAATGCCTATTTGGGGAAATGAAAATGTTCAGGAGGGTTTGGGACTTACCTCTTTGGTATGAGTGAACGAATTGCAAACCAATCAGGAGATGCTTTCCGTGGCGTCAAGAACCCTTCTTTAGGTTGGATTATCGGTKTCCTCTTTGTTGTTAGCTTTCTTGGCCTCTTCTCGGTTGTTCCTCTGCGAAAGGTCGGTCGCGTTTATGTTTCCTGCTTTCTCTCCTGTGAACCGAAAAAGGAACAATGAGTTTATGAGGTCTCGAAATTTCGCCTTTTTCTTTGTTTTGCAGATAATGGTAATAGATTTCAAACTAACATATCCCAGTGGTACTGCAACTGCTCATCTTATTAACAGCTTTCATACCCCTCAAGGAGCCAAGCTAGCCAAGTAACCGTCCTTTCACCTCACTTTATATGCATCTAGTCTTGAGTTCTCTTTCTTCCTTTTGACTCTCTGCTGCTTCTCTGCATCAGGAAACAAGTGAGGGTGTTGGGGAAATTCTTCTCCATAAGCTTCTTCTGGAGTTTCTTCCAATGGTTCTTTACCGGAGGAGATAATTGTGGCTTCTCCAACTTCCCAACATTCGGACTCAAAGCTTACCAATACAAGTAAGCTCAGTAAAACAATTCACTTACTCGAAAACAAAAGAGCATTGTCGCTTAAAACCGCAAGCTTGCTTATTGTTTTTTTCCAAGTAATCCCAATGTTGAGTTCCTTTCTGGTGAGAGCCTGATGTAAAAACAGGTTCTACTTTGATTTTTCAGCAACATATGTTGGTGTTGGTATGATATGTCCATACATAATCAACATCTCTGTCCTTTTGGGAGGAATTCTCTCTTGGGGGATCATGTGGCCTCTCATTGAAACAAGAAAAGGAGATTGGTTTCCTGCTGATGTTCCATCTAGCAGCATGCATGGTCTCCAGGCTTACAAGGTAAACCAAACTCTCCATAACATTCCTCTGTTACTTGTCTCTGCTTAAGTTAATCTCTCTATATACACTGGACCATTTTGTTCCTTTCAGGTGTTCATAGCTGTTGCTATAATCCTAGGTGATGGTTTATACAACTTTTGCAAAGTGCTGAGCCGGACACTTTCAGGACTATTTGTACAGCTTCGAGGCCCTAGACCTGCTTCAAGAACCTCCTTCACACTTCAAGAAGACCCTAATGCTTCCCCATTAGGCCCAAAGCAATCTTATGACGACCAACGACGAACAAGATTCTTCCTTAAAGACCAAATCCCTACTTGGTTTGCTGTTGGAGGGTATATCATAATAGCTGCAACATCTACAGCGATACTCCCTCACATGTTCCAACAGCTGAGATGGTATTACATTCTGGTCATCTATATCTGTGCCCCTGTCTTAGCTTTCTGTAATGCTTATGGAGCTGGACTCACAGATTGGTCCTTAGCTTCAACTTATGGAAAGCTCGCAATATTCACAATCGGAGCTTGGGCTGGCTCTGAGCATGGTGGTATGCTTGCTGGTCTAGCAGCATGTGGTGTCATGATGAACATAGTCTCGACAGCTTCGGATCTGACACAGGACTTCAAGACAGGTTACTTGACGTTATCATCTCCAAAGTCGATGTTTGTGAGCCAAGTGATTGGAACAGCAATGGGTTGTGTGGTATCTCCTTGCGTGTTCTGGCTATTCTACCAGGCCTTTGATGATTTAGGTCTCCCAAACAGTGAATACCCTGCACCATTTGCTACCGTATATCGAAGTATGGCTAAACTAGGAGTGGAAGGCGTCTCATCGTTACCGAGAGAATGTCTCGTTCTATGCTACGCCTTCTTCGGTGTGGCGATTCTAATAAACATAGTAAAAGACAGTCTTTGGAGCAGATGGGGAAGGTTTATACCGCTTCCCATGGCAATGGCTATACCGTTTTTCTTGGGACCTTATTTTGCAATTGACATGTGTGTGGGAAGTTTGATACTTTTCATTTGGGAAAGAGTAAATGCAGCCAAAGCCGAAGCTTACGGGACCGCCGTGGCGTCTGGTTTGATATGCGGAGATGGGATTTGGTCTTTGCCTAGCTCAGTGCTAGCTATAGCCGGAGTTAATCCTCCTGTTTGCATGAAGTTCCTCTCTTCTGCAACCAATTCAAAGGTTGATAGCTTCCTACAAGGATCATCTTAAGCTCAATAAGTTGTGAATTCTCAAGCATTGCAAAGTGTAATGATGTTCCTTTTCTTTTCTCTCTTTTTTTTTTTAGTACCATTATGATGGATTTTGGAAGTAACTCGTATATATATAGATCATAGATTTGAAGGAGCTAGCTTGTTTAAATTCGTAATTGCAATATTTTGCCTCCCTGCTGACGTGTCAATATGCTCCTTTTCTCGAGGCTTTACATTTTCAAAAAAAAAAAAAAACCATATCTTGCGAGGATTAAGAACATATATATAAACTGAGTTTTGCAGTTATCCATTAAGCTATGAAAAGATAAGAAACAAACCTGAGGAAAATTGAATTTGAGGAAAGTTTTTTTGTGTGTGGAGATCGCCCATTATGGTGCCAGAGAATTACGTGTAAATTTAATTGAAGAATCTATATAGATTTCACTATTTCGCATCTATTAGAATATGTAGGTTAATTTGTTTATCCTCTTGAATTCATGTAGAATCT